CAAAAATGGGTGTTAGGTGCTATCATATATATATATATATATATATATATATATATATATATATATATATAATTATTTTTTTACGTTCTTTATTATAATCTGAAATTTAAAAAAAATCCAAAGACATATGTGATATATTTTCTTGCTACTTATTATACTTTGTAGAATTATTTGAATTTTCTTTATTATAACTAATTTACCTATGAGTTATAAAAGAATTAACTTTTGGAAATTTAAATAAAAAACTTGCAATATATGTCTGAGTCCAGCAGAAAAAGTCAGATAAGTTGATGTTAGGGAAATTAACCCTAAGATATGTATTTGAATGTTTTTTCTCTCATGCGATTATTTCTAACACATTTATAAGATTATTTCTTTGTTGCTTTGTATGTCCCTCCCTCCCCCACGGTATAACCCCTGCTTTCACTGTATTTGATGTTGGTATAATTTGTGGAGGGGAAGGGAAAAAATAAATCGTTTAAATAGGGATACAGGTGGACCCATTGTAACAATGAAATGTACAAGTCATTATGTCCAAAACGAACTTTTCAACTTTGGTGGTGGGGGGGAAGAGGATTGGGTGGGGGGTGGTGGGGGGAGGATGGGAAGGGGAAACAAAAGAGGAGACTACAATGCTTGATAAGAAATGTACTCATTATCTTGCCCATGTAATTGTAACCCCTCTGTACAGTATTTTCACAATTAAAAAAAAAGAATACTTTTTAAGTATGTTATTCTCAAAAGTCTGCTCTACCAGAAAATAATTATACCAACAAACTTATTGTATCTTCTTTAAATAGGAAATGGCCATTTTCAAGATCGCAGCTCTGCAAAAAGTTATAGATAATAGTGTGTCTTTGTCTGAACTAGAGCGAGCCAATAAACAGTACAATGAACTCACGGCCAAGTACAGAGACATCCTTCAAAAAGATAATATGCTTGTTCAAAGAACAAGTAACTTGGAACACCTAGAGGTAAACTGTGATCCTTGAACATTCTGAAATAAGTGACTTTACCTTAAGGATATACAAATAGTTATTTAGTAAAGGTTGTTTTTACTTCTATAAATTTAGGAAATTTAGGTATAAAGTTAGGAAATTTAGGTATAATTCATTTATAAAATTTAGTTTTATCATTGGTCTCAGATAGGGTGTTATAATCAAATGAAGAAGTTTCCATTTCTTTCTCCAGCAGTTTTCTCTATTTCCAAAACAGTTTTCTCATGGTCACTAGATTCTGTTCCTTGTGGTAGATTTAGTTAACAGTAATAATTTATTATATGGCTTGTTTTTCTTTAGTCCTTACCCAATTTTTTTCTTTAATCCTTCCCCCAATGTTTTTATTCTCCATAACTTGTTTCTATTAGTATTAAAATTACCTATTAGTTTATTTTCTAGCTAATCCACTAAAAATACAAGTTTTGAGCATCACTACAGAAAAAGTTACAGATTTGAAAGAATTTCCATATTTCAGATTTTCACATTAGAGATGCTTAACTATACAAATATTCTAAAAGAAAAACACAATAACTACAACAAAAAAAACCTCTAAACCTGTGAAGCCTTTCACATGCCAAGTATTTTGGATAGGCTCTCTTCACTCTTATTTTTGCTTCTGAGGCTTTGGGCAACCAGCACTCAAAATTGTTTACTGTGTTGAGCGGTTTTGCTCTCTTCACCCTTCTAATATTTCATACTGTTTCATGCTGTAGAATTTTGGCTCTTTTCATGGTCAATTTCTGATCACATGTGGCTAGGTTTTACCTGAAATATTTCTTTGATGGTTAAGACCATTTTTCAACCGCTCTTACTTAGATATGCCTCTGTCTATTTTTCTTTGGCTCAGTAGACTGATTTCTTTTTCCTCTCTGGTTCTTGGTATTTCATTAATGGATTTTCTGTTAGTTTCTCTTTTTATTGTCTACTGCCTCCCATAAACCTCCCCAGTTCTTGCTATATGTACATACCCAGAGATACCAACTTGAGAAGCCTTTACTATCTAGACTTTAGTCAATTCTTTTTCCATTATGAACCTGTAGCACCTGCTACTGTTGCCATGTAAGGGAACACTTACTGAGTGCTTGTGTGAATGGGCAAGTAAGCACTAGTTTGTAAGAGACAGGGTTCCTGAAATATCACAGGTTAAGCAAATGACCTTACAGCTTTAATGCAGAAGCTAGTGCTCAGAAGTTTAGAGCCATGTATTGGCTACACAAGATTTTGGTGATTATTTTCAAATTATATTTTACATTAGAAAAAAAAGGAGAAAACTAATTTGGAAAAACTACATTATGAATTTTAGTAGATACTACATAAGACATTACACTATAGTTTTATCTTTTACTCAGTGTGAAAATGCATCCTTAAAAGAACAAATGGAATGTGTAAATAAAGAACTGGAGATTACCAAGGAAAAACTGCACACTATTGAACAAGCCTGGGAACAAGAAACTAAATTAGGTAAGTCTTATTACTGTGATAACACAAAATTATTATAATCTAACAATGAATATTTTTCATTTAAAATAAATTTTTATACCTGATGACAATGTCAAATTTTGTTTAAAGAAATAAGCTCTTGACCTCAGCCTCACTTAATAGTTAATTAATGATAAATAACATATTAATGATACAATATAGATTATATGATATATATTTTTATAATACTCTGAGATATGTTTTGAAAATACATGAATAACATTGAAGTATTTTTGAAACAGACAATAGATTTTTTGGTTTTTATTTAGAAGATACATATTAGTGTGAAAATATAAAGCTGGAAAATTAGAAGGAAATGCCAGGTACTCTAATCCCAGCTAATCAAGAGGCTGAGGCAAGAGAATCACATGTTAATCAAAATAAAATTGTGAACAAAACAATACAAGGGGCTACTAGAATACTTGCCTACTGCTCCAGATGTCCTGGGTTCAAACCCCAGACTTCAGGTACAAAAGACATTGGTATTATAAAAGACTATTTTACAACTGTGTCACTGCTTATTCTTTTAGGTGATATGGCCACCCAAAACGTACAAACTTTAATTGTGTCTCTACAAAACAAAACTATCATGTTTGATTTTGTTTTGTTTCTGGAACATGTCAGTTATGCAAATTTGAAATTCCTTCCTCCACTGTCAAAATAACTAAATAATGACACTCCTAAGCGATACTCTTTCACGATATTTTAGGATTTTAGTTTTCTTTTTATTTAACTACAAATTTTACTCATATATATATATATATATGAGTAAAGTATAATAACTAATAAAAGAATATACAACATTTGATATTACATGTGTTAATAAGAAAAGTAATGGCTGTAGTTTGTGAATATATTTAGTTTGCTTTGTTATACTTTAAAAATAAAGCAATTGCACTTACATTCACAAAGTAACACTATTTTGCTGCAATGTTTCTTGACGCTTATTCAGCTTTATAAAAAATGTTTATCATTTCTTAGTTTTCTACATTTCTACATTCTTAGTTTTCTCTACCCTGTTATTTCAACAGTCATTTGAGGAATTGTCTTTTGATTGTAATTTGATTGATGAAGAACATGGTTTCATACATTAAATAGAATAGACATCTGTCAGGCAAGATATAAATATAAAAATATTCATTATAATTCAAAATGAGCTTTCCTTTGAATTATATTACTTCATAAAACAGATCTAACTTATTTCATATATAATTATGGTCTAAATAGCAAGAGATTTACTTGTGTCTTATTACATATAGGAAATGAATCTTACATGGATAAGGCAAAAAAATCTATGACAAACAGTGAAATTGTTTCTATTTCAAAAAAAATCACTATGTTGGAAATGAAGGAATTAAATGAAAGGCAGAGGGCTGAACATTGTCAAAAAATGTATGAGCACGTACGGACTTCATTAAAGCAAATGGAAGAACGTAATTTTGAATTGGAAACCAAATTTGCTGAGGTTTGATATATATAATTTTGTTATGCAATCAAAGGGTAAAAATTTAGTTGTAGCAAACATTGTATTACTAAGAGATTTGTTTGTGTCTTTGAAGTAGAATATTCCTATTACATTTGTGTTTCCTGTAATAGGTAAATAGAAGATTAAGATCTGATTTGATCAAATGAAAAACAGGTATTTCTGTGATTTTTTTGTCTCCTTGATGACATTACTTGTAATGTACAATAATAAATTATTGACTTAACGAAATTTTCTTCTACTACCATCCCTTCATTTAACTATTTATTTACTGTACATTATATACCACACCCAATTTGGGGGGTGATACTATGGCAAGAAACCAGAGAGATAGGAAACTACACTTTCATGAACTTTATAGCCTCTGTTTTTGTTTTGTTTTTAAATGCTTCACAAATTTGTATGTCACCCTTGAGCAGGGAGGAAACTTTACATTCTAATGGGAGGCTTTAGATTTTATTTTATATTTTTATTTTTTGTCGGTCGTGGGGCCTGAACTCTGGGCCTGGGCGCTGTCCCTCAGCTCTTCAGCTCAAGGCGAGCGCTCTACCACTTGAGCTACAGCACCACTTCCGGTTTT